GGGGGGACTAAATTAGAGACAAGAAAAAAAAACGTATTATGTGAAACAGATGGACACGTTGTATAACATTAATATACCTGAGTGGTTATTCAAATAAGTATGTTGTTTTGTTATGGTTTTTTCTTTTATTTGTTTGTTTTTAAAACATCTCTAATTTGTTTCGTTTCAGTCTCCCCGATTGCCATTACTGGCATTGTCTTCGGCTGTTTTGTGTTCCTTGGTGCAATGACGGCCATGGCGTACAAATGCTACCGTCGCCGCGTCATGCAGAACGCCCAGAACCGCCTCTCATCCGCCATCAAGAAGGGACTCCAAGAAAGCAACTCTGGAAGCTTCAAGAAGAGCATGTCAGTCCGGAACACCACCAAGGTCATGAAGTCAAAGGGCACAAGTCCAATCACACCCCCTGGCGGAGAGGCCAACCTAGACCGCATCCCTATGATGGGTTTCTCTTCCGGGTCGTCCCCAGACCAGGCTCACTGCGTCAAGGCGGAAATGCACATCGAGCAAGAAAAAGATGGCGCCACTCCCGAAAAGGAAGACGCTCTCCGAGAACGCGCAGTTATCTCCCCGGAGAGACCGACCAAGCTGGGCAACCTGACCTTTTCGGTGTCCCACGACGAGCAGAAGTGCGCGCTGATGGTGACCATCGTCAAGGCCGACGAGCTTCCCCCGCGAGACCCCAGCCTCGGTGGCTGCGACCCATACGTGAAGCTGCAGCTGCTGCCTGAGAAGAAGCACAAGTGCAAGACCAGAGTACTCCGCAAGACGCTGTCGCCGACCTATGACGAAACGTTCACCTTCTACGGAGTGACGGGCAATCAGATCCCAGCCACGACCCTGCATTTCGTCGTCCTCAGCTTTGACCGCTTCTCTCGGGACGAGATCATCGGAGAGGTCATCTACCCGCTCTCTGACCCGGATGTGGAGAAGAAGGACGACGCTATTACGCGGGAGATTACTCCACGACATCTCAAGGTGGGTTTTAGAGCAAACATTTATATCAGAACCAGGAGTGCGATACTCCCTCTTCTCGCTCTCTCTCTCTCTCTCTCTCTCTCTCTCTCT